CCTATAGTTCCCCTCCCTCCCCCTCTACCCCCATTGTCGTTGATAGTCCCCCTATCTACAAGGTACGGAGGTTGCTTGATGTAAGGCGCCGGGATCGTGGTCAGCAGTTTCTGGTCGATTGGGAGGGATATGGTCCTGAGGAGAGAAGCTGGATACCGTCTCGGGACATCCTGAACCGCTCGCTCATCGATGACTTCCTTTGCTCTCACCAGTCTTTCTCCTCTGGAGCGACAGGAGGCGCTTCTTGAGAGGGGGGAATACTGTCGGGGTTTTTTGTGACTTCTCTGTCTCCCTCTTGTGTATTATCATTTGTATGCAGTTTCACCTGTTATCAATTTGCTTGTTTCCCCGTCCCCATTCCTCTCACCTGTTCTCCCTGATTATTGTAGCTATTTAGTCTCCCCTTCTCCCTCGTTTTGTGCTTGTTAATTGATTCTGTGTTCTACTGTTGCTTGAGTTACCGGTTCCAAGATAGTTTCGCACTTTGCACTACGTCTCGTCAAGTCTTGCATTGTCTATTTCACCACGTTTAATCCTGTTATCTGTGCTCTGGCTCACCTCTGCTCTGCCCACAGTCCACGCTCAAGTGAGGTCTCATCTGCTTGATTCCCTGAGGTCTGTCCTAACTTTACTACTGTTATACCAAGAGGATCTCTTTCGTTTGATCAGTCCACCACCGCCCAGAGGAGGGTCGTTTATAGACTGCTTGTGTTTCTATATTTTGAGTGACTGTTACTTACTGCCAAGGAGAGCAGAATTGTGGATTTGGTTCTGTTTAATAAATTCCTTTAATCTTCTCCCTTGCGCTTGGGTCTCCATATATCCTGACATGATTTCAAAAATCAGGCATTGCCATTCTTTGAATTTTTTTTTTTATTCTTTAATCATGCATCACTAATAAATATTCTAAACACAAAAATATTTTCCATTGTGATGAATATATATATATATATATATATATATATATATATATATATATATATATATATATTGTAGCGAGCGATTACATGCCACGTCGCCCTGGTCGCTAATTTCACCCAGCTGGACCCTCATCAAGCCAGGATCGCCCACAGCTGGACGGCATCACACGGAGAGGCATATAAGCCCAACCTACGCCAGGAGAAGATGAGCTTCATTCATCCTATGACTCCCTGTGCTAATGCTTGTCTCTTTGTCTCTCCGTAGCGGACTCCAGCTCGTGACGATCCTTCACCCGACTACTCACTGTCCTTCACCTACTTCCCGGAGCACCAGAGCACCTCACCCTAAAGAAGAGCACCTTTTACAACACCTTCACTTTGTAAATAAAGCACCCTCCGGGGACTTGTCTGTAAACTCATCCTGTTGTGTCGCTGTCTTCCCTCTGCCTCGCTACAATATATATATATATATATATATATATATATATATATATATATATATATATATATATATATATATATATATATATATATATATATATATATATTTGACAGCTGTTTGCGGGATTATTTTATGAGGCCAAACTCTTTCTATTTTGCTGTAGGCCTATACTGAAAGGCTGAATACGTTAAAGCCAATAATCACTATAGCCTGACAGATGAACAAATAAAATTAAAACCTCATGAATAAATAGTATATCTCGTAAGATACTGCATGATCCAAATATAGTTTTATTGAATAACTTTTTTTAAAGTTTTCATTACATTTTGGGCATGAAATCCACGCTAAATCCACCCTTCTGATGGGATCAGTTTAATCCAGGTTTTTTGGATCAAAGTGATCCAAATCCTACAAAAAAAAACATCTGAAAAACCCAAACTAAAGGTTTGACCTGTATCAAAACCAAGATTGTATTACGTGATCTAATCCGATTATGTAATCCGTTTTTTCTTTTGAAAAACCCATTTTCAAGATTTGATCCAATCCCTTATCCAAAATCCCAGTGGATTACTTTTGAAAAACCGGGCCCAGTAGATTAAGTGGAGTCTGCACTACCTTTATGATTCGACATGATTACACTTTTGATTCTAAAGACACATTTGACTGTACAGAGCAGTTTTGACACGACAGCATGGAGATCTTTAATCATCTAATCGCTGAAATTAGCAAGTTGTCTGGAAGTGGCTAAATCAACCACTCTTTTAGGATGAGTGAGCAGTTTGAATCCAGACTATTTAAGTATTAGCTAACCCTACATCCTCTGACTAACTTTAGAGTGTTGACATACTGTCCATGAGAAGACACGCAAACCCGGGTGTGAAAGTCTGAGCGACGTTTGGTCCCTAATGAATGTATAACTGAAGAGTATGGGAACAGATATAGATCAAAACTCTAAATTGAGTCATAAATGATAAATCTGATTCATTCTTACATATAGAAATACAGTTTAAATTTGACGGTCATTTAAAATTGGAGTCAGATTAAATTTGGAGCTAAAAAAATAATGTAAATAAATTCTAATAAATGACACAATTTTTTTCAGAAGCACTAGAAAAGGCTTATTTGCATTTAACCTTCGACCATGCTGTTAGTTTCATCAATGGGCTAATAGATAGACTTCTACAGATGAATGAAAGAAGAACTTTGACCTACAGAGCTCTTTTGGAGGTTTTGATGACTGCTGATAGTCTGTTGAGACACTCGTCTGATCTCTGGAATTTCTGAAGCTCAAACTCCTCCAGCTCCTCCTCTGAGGTCAACAGCACAAAGACCAGAGCAGACCACTGGGCTGGTGAAAGGTCAGCAGACGACAGACTTCCTCCACTAAGGTGAGACTGAATCTCTTTCAGCAGAGTTTGGTCGTTCAGTTCATTCAGACAGTAGAACAGATTGATGGATCTCTCTGGAGACAGATTTCCTTCAAGCTTCTGCTTGATGTAGGCAATTATTTCCTTTTTGCTTTGGTCTCTGTCATCCTGCTGTGTCAACAGGCCTCGTAAGAGTTGTCGATTGGACTGGAGTGACAGACCGAGAAGGAAGCGAAGGTAAAGGTCCAGATGTCCATTCTCACTTTCCAGAGCCTTGTCCACTGCAGTCTTCAGAAAATCAGTCATGGACTCATTTCTGTTTTTTTCTGCTTGTGTCTTGACACTGTCGAGAATCAGATGTTGATAAAGGGCTGCAATGAACTCTTGAATGCTCAAGTGAAGAAAGCAGTACATAGTATGAAGAACAAATCCTGTTTCCTTCTTAAAGATCTGGGTACACATGCCTGAGTACACAGATGCTTTATTGACGTCAATGCCACAGTCTTTCAGATCGCTCTCATAGAAGATCACATTGTTTCTTTCCAGCTGCTGGAAGGCCAGTTTCCCCAGTGAAAGGATGAGGTTTGGATCCCAGGAGACATCTGGTGTGTTTTCTCCATCATACTTTCTTCTGCTCTGCTGGATCTGAAAGCGGAGAAAGTGTGTGTACATCTGTGTCAGAGTCTTGGGAGATTCCTGCAGTGTTTCAGCATGAGCCCTGTGTTTCAGTTTCAGTATGTTCTGGAGAACAGTGGCTGAAATCCAGCAGAAAACTGGGATGTGGCACATAATAAAGAGACTCTTTGACTGTTTAATGTGATCAATGATTTCTCTGGCCTGATTCTGATCTGTGAGTCTCTTTCTGAAGTACTCCTCCTTTTGGGCATCATTGAATCCTCGTATCTCTGTCAGCCGGTCGATACAGTCAGCAGGAATCTTACTGGCAGCTGCTGGTCTGCTGGTGATCCAGATGAGAGCAGAAGGAAGCAGATTTCCCTTGATGAGGTTCGTCAGGAGAACATCCAGAGAGACTGCTGAAGATACATCATGACACGTCTCATTACCAGCAAAGTTCAGAGGAAGACGACATTCATCCAATCCATCAAGGATGAACAGGACTTTGAATCGTGTGCTTCTTGTAAGGTTCAGTCCTTCAGTCTCTGGGAAAAACTGAGTTATGAGGTCTTTTAAACTTTGTCTTTCTTTCTCCTTTAAGTTCATCTCTCTGAATGGAAGAGGAAATATGAAGCTGATATCTTGATTTTCTTTTTCTTCAGCCCAATCCAGAACAAACTTTTGCACAGAGACTGATTTCCCGATGCCAGCAACTCCTTTTGTCAGGACAGTTCTGATCTGCTCGTCTTGTTCAGCTGCTTCAAACAAATGTTTGCATTCAACCTGTATCTCTAGTGACTGATGACTTCTGGAAGCAGCTTCAATCTGTCTGATCTCATGTTCAGTGTTGACCTGTTCACTCGCACCCTGAGTGATATAGAGATCTGTGTAGATCTTATTCAGAAGTGTGGAGTCTCCTTGCTGAGCAATTCCTTCAAACACACTTTGATATTTCTTCTTCAGGCTACATTTAAGCTGATTAATGAAGAACAGCTCGCCTAACCACAAGAGCAAAGAAACAGAGAGATTTAGTCTTGACTTATTTGTAAGTGACAGTCTGACAGAGCGCCATGAGTAGGGCCAGACAGAACTTTTAGGCATTTTTTTGCTATTTCTGTGGATAAATTTGTAAAATATCTGCAGATTACTGCATGATTTTGGGAATATCATAATTTTGGGATTATCATAAATAAAAACTAAATATATAAAATACACAAAAAATAACACCTTTTTAACTTGTAAAATAATAATATTTAATGTTTACAATACAAATCAAATTAGATTCACTTAGTTGCTAAACAAAGTAAGTCATATAACAGATCTACTAAAGGACAGAAAATATGACTTTACCAACTGTACTGTACATAAATCAAATGAACATTTTCCTATTTGTCAACAATATTACTAAAATTAATTAAAAACGAAATAAATAAAAATGCGCACAAGTGAATAAATAGACTCAATGATGGGCTAAAAATCTGTGTAAATCTGCAGGTTTCGTGTGGGTCTATCCATGAGTCTCTTACCCTGGAGAGTATCAGCAGCTTGATCTTGCTTCATCTCTCTCAGGAAGAAGAGTGTGAGATCAAGAGCTGCTTCTGTGATTCTGCTTCTGTTCTCATTAAAGTCCTTTACAAACTCTTGTCTGTTTTCTGCTTGTAAGATTTTCTTAAATTTCTCCAGTTCATTCCTCATAAATCTGATCATTTTGCTCTCAAGATTCTATGAGTGAAGAAACGAGAAAAACAACATTTAACCAAAACATTCATTTGCATACAGTTCCACAAACTACTAAAGAATTAAAAATACATTATAATACATAATACTACAGGACAGTTCTTTATTTTATTGGCTGATCAACAATCTAGGGTGTGCACTTATTCTCAGATAAAGTAGATTCAGACAGGCATTGAGCACATTTATAATTCCTGAATGATTTTAATTATTTCACAGCTACAGGAGCCAAAAGTCACATCAAAACACAACAGAAGGTTTTGGATTTGTAAGATAAGGATTTGAAATGATTTGTCTTATTAACAGGAGCTGTTTGAGGACAAAAAGCTGTAGATGTCTGTAATACAACATCTGAACAGTGGCATTAAGTGTGGAAACATCAGCATCTCAGAAAGCATGTTTTTTGTGTGTTTAAAATGACTAATAATTTGTGTGTGTTTAAACTCTAATAGAGACATAAACATTGATGTTTTGGCTAAAACAAGGCTTACATTTGTCTGTCAGTAAAAGTTTAATAGTCATGAAAGAATAGCCCAAACTAGACTAGTCATCAAATACACATGAATGAATGACTACACGTGTGAATTGTGTCTAATCTTTGTATTGATAGTCTAGATTTGGATTACTGTTAGATTTTCACCAAAAGCTCAAGCATAGCCTTTAGTCAAGCCATCCTCAATTGGACATCTATTAAACAAAAATGACATAGTGGGATATGCAGAATAATTGACTAATCTGTTCATTTATTAGAAAATAATGCACACAGAGGTGTAACGGCGACTCCACGAGTATCACAGATGTGCATTATTGTATAATAATTCAATGTACTGGTCACTGATTCCTTAATAATTTAATCGCTCTACATTTTATTTAAGCGGTATGTTTTTAAATAACTATTTATTTTTATTTATAATTGTTACTGCCCAAACTCAAAACTGGCTCGAATAACAACAACAATCAAGGTTTGAGCCGAACATATGGAAGACACAGACGTTTGAATGGTTAAATTGACGTTCCATCAATATGTTTAATTTTCCATAACTCATAAGTTTTCAAAAATTGACAAAACATTAACAAAATCAAGTAGACAGGTAGGGAAGCTAAGGTAAACAGGTCTCTGACTATACTGCTTTAAATGGACAGATCTTACCTAAACTCGCGTGAAAGGAATAAAAATAGGTGAGTCTTCCGGGCCACTGCTTACCTTCACTAAACTAAATAAATAACAAAACGTGACTATGAAAAATAAACCCCTACCTGCTACAAAACAAAGTATCAAAATAAACAAACTAGTTAACACATTACGAATTAAGAATCAAAAGATTAACAGGAACAAAACACTAAATGGAGCGGCATCTAGATGAATGATCGCCGGGCATGCGGAGCACTGCCAGCCAGACCGCCTGAGCGCAAGCCACCACCGAGCTGAGGGAGGGCGAGAGACTGCAAGATAGAGAGAGAGAGACAGAGACGCCATTGCTGTCAGCCTTATATAGTGGGAATCCCCTGTGACGTCACGGACGTCATCCAATCCTGGATAAGTTGGGTAAACAATCCTCCTAGAACTCGATCACAGGCACAAACCGGCAATAAATAAATAGATTAAAGAAAACAGACCCACGTAACAATAAAAAAACAAAAAATTTACACCTGGAAGATGGACTGGAGATTGTCTGTGAAACTCTTTTGTCTCCTGTGAGTCTCGTCTCCTGAATATGGTAACTCATATTCAACACTGTTAACAAATAAAACTACTGTAATAATACATTTAGAGGCAAACACATACAGATATATCTTACAAACACTGAAAATAATGCATGTAGTGCTCATAATAAGGAGACAGTGGACAGATTTGTTACTTGAGTTTTCTGTTACATTGAGCTGAGAAATCACAGTTAATTGTATCTGTCATTACAAAGAACTGTCAATCACAAAGTCATTATTAGAAAGTAGCTTTGAAATAAACATTTGATTTACAGTTCATTATTACACAAACTTTTTGCTACAAAACAACACAGCTACATTTACCTTCTAAAGCTTGACCTTTATTTAGATATACTTACAAAACAATATAGTTAAAAACTTCTTCAAAACATCTTTCATGTTCCACAAATGAAATAATTGACAGAAATCTAATATATTAATATTTAATGAAAGATCCTCTGAATAAGAAGTCAGGTGTCTATAAATGTCTTAATCACCAAGTCATTTGATTATTTTAAACAACTGATTTATTCAGGAATGACTCTCTTTACTGAATTGTTGGTTTACACAAAACTGTTGATGTGAGCAATAATGTAAAACACACAATACCTTTGTGCAGATGATGGTGTTTTCCCACTGAAGTTTAGTGGATTCCTTTTTGACCGGTCACTCTTCAGAGACACAGAGCTGGACACACATGATCCTGATCTCACACTGAACACACAAACACACCAGAGGAATAAACTGCAGGACAAACTTCAGTCTCCTTTAATAGTTTATCAGACAAATATGAGTTTGTTCAGTTTAATTAAGGGCAAACTAATTATTGGCTCAAACATAAAAAAACAAAACATTAATATAAATTAGTATAATCTCTAGGTAGAAAAGACAAAAATAAATAAAATTTCCTTAACAGAACTACACACTAAGTTTAACATGTATATCTTTATTAATCTGTGTGTATTGTTCAAATGTAGCACCCTTTTGTTATGTTTGTGGCTGTTTTTACCCCCAATGACTTCATATAGTGAAGCAATATCAGCATCTGATCATGAAGTCTTGATTGGTGCTGGTTGGAAATAATTTTACTGTTGATCATCAGTTGTCAGCATTAACCCTTTAGATCAGCCTGAGCTAAACAGTTTCTGCATTGTAGTTCAGTGGAGTGAAAGAGCAGATTATAGTGAGTGTGTGTGCACAAACACACTTACTGTGTTTACTGTGTTCTGACAGCTGAGGGGCTTATTTTAAGTTTCTCAGACATATCAAGACAAGCGTGCAAAGGTCTCGCTCACTCCATATTACTCCATATAAACTAACTCCATATTCTCCAACATTTTTCACCAAGAACCAGCTAAGAAGAAAACTGTACCCCCATTTGACCAATTGATCAGGCAAAAAAGAAAGTGTTGAAATAATGGTGTAAAAACAGAGTCAATACCTGTGTTTCTCTGAGAGAGAGTCCTTTACTTGCCACTCTGCCATACTGCAGCTAAAACACCAATGCAGACATTAGCAGAGCTTTGAGGAAACATTCAGCCGCTGACCATCACCTGGAGATGACAATATACTGAGATGAAGAACAGCACACTTTATAGCAATCAATGCTCACTTCACTAACACCGCACTGAAACAGATCACATGATGAGGGACAACACAAACTGACTTTCAGTCATCTCACAGCAGATAAATATGCTTTATATAAAAAAAAAAAAAAAAAAAAAAAAATATATATATATATATATATATATATATATATATATATATATATATATATATATATATATATATATATATATAAACTCTTAACATTAATGCAGTTGCAGGGATGAACAATAAGGATTGGATCCAACATGCGAGATGTTCAGCACAGTAGACAGAATCATTACTGATCAGTCCAGTGCTGTCTTGTCACTAAAGTTTTATTTGCCTGTGACTATTTGTCAGTTTAGTGCACATACAGTCTTAGAATCAAGAAACATTTGTGCTTTTAAGCCTTTAAATGCTACCTTCTCTGTGAAGTCGTGAACACCATATTGCTTTTCAGGTTCCTCTTATCTGACTGAATGTTGATTTGTATTGATTTATTAATAATCTCAGCTTAGTGAGCCACTTTTTGTTAAATAATAATCAAATACCTGCACATTTTCCACACTGTTTTTTTGTTTGCAGAACAATACAAATTTTACTCATTATACATTTATCAACATTTCAAAAATATTTAACAATTGTTTTTCAAGATCTTTGAAAAAATGTAGTTAAATCAGAATTGTATTTTTTTTATTGTTTGTTATTTAAAGTATTTAAAGAAACGTTATGCTTAATTTAAAAAAAAGTGTATGTATACAGCTGATCGAAAAGTGTATGTTTTATCTTTTGACACATTATTTAAAACATGTGGCTGAAGGATAGCTATTTTTTTATTTATGTGGCCAAAAATATTCTGGCAGGGCAAGTAAAAATCTAAACCACTGGCCGAGTAGAAAAAAGCCTTAGCGTTAAACCCTGAGTTCGTTAAATAAGATAAGATTAAAAAATATTTTACATTTGATATATGCATATTATTTGTCACGATAACTTCCGTTTTAGCCAACTAATTATTTGTTTACTGACTTAGCAGTTAGTTAGTATTAAAACGTTAACAGTGAAATGCAGTTTAATGCAGCTCTGCTTTCACTTTCGATTTCCTGACTCTCTTTTAAAAGCTTATTTTGTGCTGAATGAGTCAAAAATTATCGAGTCAGTCTCACATAGAAGAGCACAAAAACTTTCAATGGATTAAAAAATGTGAGTTTTTTTTGACAGTGTGTTAAATTCACCGTGTTTTGGCTCAGAGTTTAATCAGTGAATAAAAATGCTAATTGACTGTCTTCCAACAAGGGGCGCCCGTAGACCAGCCGAAATAGGGCTTTTGCCTTGGTTACTGCAGTAAACAAAACAGTGAAACGCAGGAGGATTTTTAACAGAGCAAAGACATTTTTACAGTATGTCTGACAATATTTTTTCTTCTGGAGAAAGTCTTATTTGTTTTATTTCGGCTAGAATAAAAGAAGTTTTTAATTTTTTAAACACCATTTTAGGGACAAAATTATTAGCCCCTTTAAGCTATATTTTTTTCTCGATAGTCTACAGAACAAACCATCATTATACAATAACTTACCTAATTACCCTAACCTGCCTAGTTAACCTAATTAACCTAGTGAAGCCTTTAAATATCACTTTAAACTGTACAGAAGTGCCTTGAAAAATATCTAGTAAAATTTTATTTACTGTTATCATGGCTAAGATAAAATAAATCAGTTATTAGAAATGAGATATTAAAACTATTATGATTAGAAATGTGTTGAATAAATCTTCTCTCCGTTAAACAGAAATTGGGGAAAAAAATAAACAAGCGGTCTAATTATTCAGGGGTACACTATTCACTATTCAACTGTGGGGAGTCAACGGATCGGTACATAACCGAACAAGCCACAGACCATGTTATCCTTAAAAGATTGGTTGGTGCCTACAGGTCTGATCTTCTATTTCATTTTCAAAGCAATCCACAGGCACCCAGCAAAAGGCAATCCACAGGACGACTATCCAGTCAACATCACAGTTGCGTGTTAATTAACTTTACACCTTAAAACAATAAGAGGCTCTACAATCAAAAACCCACCAAACCGGTTTTTGAGAAGTACCTTTTGGTTCGCGTGCCCTTTGGCGTCTGCAAGGAATACACATTCTCAGGCAGACACAGAAGCGATCAGAAACGCTTCCAGAGTTTAATGGACATTTAAGTAAAACAGTTTATTTGAGTAATGTACGTTTGCTTTATGTTTCTGTAGGTTTTTGTGTGTACATGTTCCATGTGTTTAACAAAACTGTTATGGATAGTTATTGAGTAATAGCCCTCAGTGACAAATGAAATCTACAGAATGTTTGTGAAATACTTCATGTTTGGTATCGATTGAAAGCTAGGAACATTTCAAATGCATTGGTTTATATAAAGAAACCATACTATGAAAAGTGTCGATGTTATAAGACTTTATTTTAACCACTATGCTATCAAAGCAGCACCCACACCAGGTGTCAACCCGGCCTCCTAGAGGGCAGAATTGGGGTGTGACTCCACCCCGCACCTTCTCTGATTGGACAAGTATTGTGTAGACCCAGCCTCTACCAAAGCCTATAAAACTTTGAACAAAGGAATTTCATCGTCGTCTTTTGCCGGTCATCTTTGCCAGTCGTCACCGCTGCCCGGACGTCGCTCTTCTCGTGCTGTGGCCGTTACATCGCCTCGCCGGAAGCCTCGTTACATCACAGAGCAGACCGCGACCTTCACTTGCTGCCGGCTCGACCCCCGATCTGCTTGTGCAACCGCTTCAACAACAAGCCATCGGGTCAACACATCCAAACTCTGAAACTCATCATAACTACAGGAACCCAGGAAGGACTTCGAACGCCGCTTTGTCCAACATCCGTATCCCTAGCAACCGACTAAGGAAACCCCTCTTCACCGACAAGGGAATTCCATCACGTCACTGAAGTTGCTAGCTGACCAATCAGCTTCGCCGAGATTTCCCTTTGGACCAGTCGAGGAAACCAAAAATTGCATCAGAACGCAAGTAGCACAAACAAGGTTTCTACCCATTACTGAATCTGGTGTGAATTATGTTTAAGTAGTAAAGAATAGCGAAATTCTCTGCTTTTATGGTTTCTCTCAGGTTGCAATGCTAACCCAGCCGGCACACGACCGACCTTCAACGTTGAAATATGGTTGAAATAAGGTTAGATGTGTTTTGAACGTTGAAATAATGTTGATAGAACGTTTAATGTTGAACGGTTGAAAAACAGCCTGCATATGACAAGGCTTCAACGTTGAAATGTGGTTGAAAATACGTCAGTTGTTGCTTTAATGTTGAAACAATGTTGAATGATAAATGGTTGAAAAAAGTTACAGAAATCCTTGTACAAATCAACGTTGACATTTTTTTTATCATGATCTGTATGTTAAATTAACGTCATGGCTTCACCCAATATTCAACATGTTTGGTTACCATGGTATCGGAGGACTCGGCGCAAGCGGCCGCGCGCAGCGCTTCACTTCACTTAATTACAAACACCTGACCTGCAGTGCAGCAGAATTCACAGGTAAGCGTGTTTTTAGATGCTTTAATGTTTTATTTACCCCCCGATTTTGTTTTACACACAGTGTATCTCAAATGTGACTTAGTGTAGTGTTTCGAATTTTGAAGCATTTAAAACTTTCCAGTTTGGTTTAGTTTGCGCTCCGGTGACGCAGATAACCTCGAGGTAATGTCACATGTTTAACGTTAGTCTAAATGAGCGTTTTTATGGCAAATTCAAAGCGATAAACTCCAAACGCAGCTTAAAGTTACTGAGCAACGTTATAAAACAATATCATTTTTATACGCTGTATAATTAGTGTTATTATTACAAAGTGAATTGCTTTCGTTTCACTGTTGTTGTTGTTTTTGCTTTTAGACATGTAACTTAACATACTCCAGAGACGCACTAACTTGCACAGCATTGAATGGAAAAGGCTTTGTCCATGTAAGTTTACTTTACCTTTAACTAAGCTAGCCTATCTGTTAAATCTTCTTGGTGCTTTGGTTTTGATATTCTCTTTCTAATCTGTTTGTTTATTGATTGTTAGGCTATGTTGTGATATTATATTGTTATATCGATATTATTATTGTGAAATCATGTTGTGATGTTACTATGTGACAGTATTGAGGAGCAAATATGTATTTAGTGAGAAATTAATGTTTAAATTACACTTTGTATAGTAGCAGATAAGAGGTGAAATGGGTTTTAACTTTCTGGGTTTTCTGGAAGGTCCAGTTGAGGGCATCAAGAACACGCAGATAGCCTAAACCTGTGTCAGCCTGGACAGACTGCAGTTCTGCTACTCCACGCCAAGGCTTTTGTATGGATGTCTGACTACTACAGTGTTCTCTAAAGGTATTAGGAGCAAAACAACAGCACCCGTTACAGTGAAATTTGTATTCATAAAAATAGTGATACATGTGTAGCAGGTCCAGTACATGTGATGTCATTGAGAAGTTGTTTTTATTAAATGTCATTAAAACAAATAAATAAACATGCTATTTAAATAAATCTAAATATTAAAAACTTGAGGATTAAGATGAGAAATGAAATGCATCATCTGTCTTGCGAAAAGGGTCTACTTAAGAATTCTGGTGTTTCCCAACTGAAAGGGATAATTCACCCAAGAATGAAAATTTACTCACATTTTACTCCCCAAATGGTTTAAAACCATTATGAGTTTATTTTGTTGAACACAAAAGAGGCTATTCTGAAAAAAAACTCAAAACCTGTAAACATTGACCTCCATAGTAGAAAAAAATACTATAGAAGTCAATGGTTATAGATTTGCAGCTTTCTTCAAAATATCTTCTTTTGTGTCCAATGTGGTCAGTAAATGACGACAGAATACAAATTTTAAACTATCCCTTTAATTTTCTGTCCTACATGCAGACTTTTGCAGAAGTGCTACTCCTTTTAGAGTTTTTCTCAACCATAT